CATAACAGAAGAAAGTGTGAGGGTTTCTTTGAACACTGTTTTTAAGCCCCAGTTCTTTAATAAATCGCCTTTCTTTTTTGAGAGAAGGCATGACGCAAGATTAAGGCATGGAAAAAGGTCTTAGTCTGTTTATCTTTGACTACATGGTCTCCGTCCGAAAATTTATTCCTCAGTAGAGAGATATTATTCTTAATAAGGCCCAAAGAATAATTATTTTTCAGCTCTGATGATGTCCATCATTACGTTTTCACCCTAAACGAGGAAGGAAGTCTCGTGGACTGTCTCAACATGAATATCGTATAAAAGCCAAACGGCTGCAGTATAACGAGATTTATCCGTCCTCATTTGGTGAGATCGACCAACGAATCTCTTCTTTATGCACTTTCATACGAAATTAAAGTCCCCCTAACAAAGAATAGACTAGCTAACAAAAGGCTGAGATACCTCACCATGCGGACAAATTTAGACTAAGTTAGATAAGATTGTAGTCAGCCTTCTTTCTTGTCTTAGTGCTTAAAAAAGTTTTATTAAACATAGCCTCATGCTCTCACGATTGTTACATCACAGACTAGAGCTCAGCGCGGATTCTTAGGCGTCGCAGGACAGCGCGCCGATGACTTAGCCATATAATTAAAGAGAACTTCAGCGAGGCAACTATGTATATCCCTTTCACCAGCTTTTTAAGTGAGATATTGATTAACTCTTTTAAAACCCTAAGCCTCCAAATTCTGTTAATCTATCTACTGCTAGCTGTATAATTTGTCCATGCTTTAATGCCATGTTGCAGGCAGAGGCAACGATACATATATAGCTTCTTTGTATAATTAATGCTGCATAGTTTTTACCTTGTTTCTTATATAGGGTGTAATGGACAGTCAGGAGGATTATGAAGAATGCCCAACTCGGTCAGATATGATGTCCATTTCTTCTAACCCGCTAGTCAATTTTGATTCCAACAATTTCGACACACTATTTTCGTATATTCCATCCGAAGTTTTCAGTAGCAGCTCCAGTAAACGTTGTGGCACTACTAATGCTCAACTTATTTTTCCAAGTTTCACTGCATTGGTGGATGTAATTGAACCCGTTTTGGTTGACAAAGCGGTAACTCCAATTCAATCAAGCTCAACTGCACTGAAAGGACATTCGCTTCAGAGGCAAGACGTTGAGTGTATGCCCTACCGCCACATTCCGTCTCTCAAATCCGATATTCCTGTTACTAATTCTGCTCTCTCAAGTCAAGTGTGCGCCGCACGCATCCTGCTTTGTGCACCATGGCCTTGGATATTGCTAGTATCGCAGCTGGTTCAGCAGCGCCTTCTTCTCCAGACACATCACTTGCCAGTTTTGAACTGCTCCGAATTATTGGACGATGTACGCTTTTCGTGAACGTCTTTTCATCGCTTTTATAGATGGAAAGTCATTGTTGGCTATCAGATTGCCCTTTGACTTAAAACTTTATAATTATATATGAAGACCAAGATGCTGTGGCCTCTGGTATGGCCGCAGTCTCTTTTCGATTTATAGAAGTGGGTTGACCTTGTTGTCGCAACATGGTCTTGTTGTCAGGGGGACTTAGTAGAACGCACATAGTCCGAAGTCGTCTTCCATAGTTGCTGTCATGATTCCCAGCCTCAGAGAGCGGACTTGGTACCTTCTCAAACGTTTTGCCTCTGACGAGTTCGTAGCTTGGTGCGGAGATTGGCAAAACTCACTTATGATGCCAGAGAAACGTTTTAGAAGGTACCAAGTCCACTCTCTGATGCTGGGAATCATGATAGCAACTATGGAAGACGACTTCGGACTATGTGCGTTCTACTAAGTCCCCTGACAACAAGACCAAGTTGTGACAACGACGTCAACCCACTTCTATAAATCGAAGAGACTGCGACCATACCAAGGGCCAACACATCTTGGTCTTTCTATCTTTAAAAATTAATTAATTCAAAAATTAAATATAAATTTAAAATTTATTTGACCTTATGCATGCAAGATAATAATTTGCTAGTAATCAAAAATAAGGCTTGATTCATTTTCAGGTGTTTTTTCAGAAATCTTATGGCTACATTTTCTTTTGAGATTGGAAGACATTCATATATTGGTCCTCGGTGCATTTTATTTACCCAAATTTAGATTCACAGCTCCGACTTCCGGTGAGGCTCATTTATTAATCTCTTCCACTCGCCTCTTCAAACAAAATGAAAGGTATGCCAACATCAATCTATGGAGGTTATCTTCGAAATCTAGCTTTTCTTAATAACAAATACGTGTTTGATACTGGCATACCTTTCATTTCTTTTGAGAAGGCTGGTTTAAGGGATTCATAGATTGGCCTTACTGGATACCGAAGGAAGTTTTCCTTTGACTTTTTTTTGTTGAATTGTGTGAAGAAGACTTCGGCTCACCGTTCTACGACTCCATGACTTCGTGCTGAGCTTTCATTCGTCATGTGATGAACATCATCAGAGTCGTGTTTTTTGGTGATTTTTCGTGAGTAATGGTTTCTTTCTCTGACGATGTCCGTCATATGACGGCAAAAGCTCAGCACGGAGTCATCGGGGTCGTAGGGCAGTGAGCTGAGGTCTTTTTCGCACAATTCAACAGACAGAAGTTCACAACAATCCTGCTTCGGTATCCGGTGAGGCGAATCCACGACTCTTTCCCACCCGTCTTCTCACGCGAAATGAAAGATATGTCATTATCAATCTAGTAATGGATTCTTCGAAACCCATCTTTTCTTCATATCTCAGATATACGTGTTTATCATATTAGCAAACCTCTCTGTCAATATGAGATTGAAGAGGCTTGGTTTGCCTTGACAATTACATCTGCTTGGGGAACATTGCTATCCGCTATTATTTAGCGAAGTGTTAATTTTTCGTTAAGATGTTCTCGTTTCGAATCCTGTCTGGGATGTTGACGAGACCTAGGCAAGATCGAAATTTCAGTCTGGATGAGAAAATCGTTTTGTAGCCAAGGCCAGGTAGGCTTTAATTACATCTTGGTGATTACTTTTTTCATTGTAGTAGCATTCTATGACCAGTCATTATATCACCTTAAATATATT